GTCGTTGAATGTGAACTGTACATTGCAAGTACAACGTAGTAATAATTCCTTCAAATAAACCTCAGGTATCCCAATGTCCATTACTGGCAGATTGCTTCATGGCCAGTTTAGAAAACAACCAACTTAAAAGAATTATAGAAAACCTCCACTTATATAAAAGGTATATGGATGATATCTTTATCATTTGTGATAACAAATGTAACTTAAGTGATCTCCTAAATACATTTAATAATTGTCACCCATCAATAAAATTCACAATTGAAGTTGAAAACAAACAAAATATTCACTTCCTTGATGTAGATATAACAAGGAAACAAGATGGTACTTTAAAAAGATCTATCTACAGGAAACCCATATGGAATGGCCAACTATCAAATTTCCACAGTTGGGTTCCCATCAGCCGAAAAAGAAACTTAATAATCACTCTCGCCACAAGAATACGAAGAATCTGTAGCCCTGAGGTCGTAGAGGAAGAATTGAGTTTTTTAAAAGAGATACTTATCAAAAACGGATATCCTTCTATATTCATTGATAAGAACATGAAACCGAAAATACCAAGACCACAAACCACTGCAGTAGAAAAGAAAATTTTATACATGAACATCGACTTCAAAGGCGATAGAGCCGCACATATCTTAAAGAGGAGAATTTCAGATTCTTTAAAAAGAACATTTTTCGCAGCAACATTGCGAATATTATTCTCAAGCCGATCACTGTTCGCCAATAATCTGAAAGATAAATTATCGCATCTGACCAATTCAATGTGCATTTACCAATTTACCTGCTCTTGTGGAGCTAGGTATATAGGTCGTTCGATGCGTACTTTATCTAAAAGAATTCAAGAACATTGTCCGGCGTGGCTAAGAAGAGGAGGCAGCGGTTCAATAAGAAGTTCTATAATCGAACACCTTGTGAACACAGGTCACTCAATCAAGACAGACTCTGCGTTCAAAGTCATCTACAAGGTAAGTAGAAACCTTCCTAAGACAATTAGACTACATCTCCTTTGCATTGCCGAGGCAATAGCCATACATTTTGAAAAACCAGAATTATGTGTACAAAAGAGACTGGTACAACCTCTTCTTTTACCGTGGTCTTAATGTATTAAAATTTTTTCTCTTTTTTCTCTTTCTCATTACTCTTGTTCTTTTACAGCCACCTGCTTCACCTCCCATCTTCCCTTCAAATCTTGTACCCCCAACCGGTTTGTTTTTATTTCAACGATCATTCCGATTACATTTCATCTCTGTTTCAACATTTTATGTTATTTTTATCATGCTGAGCTACTCTTACCCGATGACTATCTAAGCCATTATCTATCAAACTTTCCTTGTTTTTAAAAATTTTTCTAATACCTTTGTTTATTTAACCTCACTGTCACCATGTATATCATAAGTTTATTATCAGTATTATTATCACCCTGTATAAATAAGTATATATATTTGCGATTGTACAGCTTTGAAAATGAATTCGCCGAAAAGAGAACTCTTCGCTGAACTAATCTTTCTTCCTTATTTAAAGCGGTCACAACGACCGAATATGTTATAAGGACCCAGGTAAGCCCATTGCAATTTCGGCTGTTAATTCTAATACTAATAAGTAAGTTTCAGATCACACAAAGTCTACATCCAATACACAGTTGAACAGACACATGGTAAACCTGAGGAGAAGTACATCCGATCCCAGAAGTTTGGATTCCCATTTAGGCTTTGTTGGTTGTGCTGTTTGTACTAATTGATGATTGCTTTGTACTTGATTGCCCGCTCATTGTCAATTTCAAACATAAAACATTCAGGCACGGACTGGCGGGTAAGCCACGGATTTTCGCGCACACGTTACATATTGTCGTGGATTTTATGTGTCGTTATTTATCAGCTATTAACAGGCTTTTTTGCATGACACATCAATTTCTGTATTGCTAGTGCTTGTAACATAGTTTTTATTCCAATTTATTGGCAGTTTGACGTATTTCTTGCTCACCACGTAAGTAAATCTGAAGTTAGCTTAATATAGTTATTTGTAACAATACAAACTCAAGCAAGTAAAGTTCACCGTGTTTCTAGTCAAAAAATACATCACAGATTGAGTTTTCATGAAAATGAACCGTAAAAACTTTTACATATGGTTCATCTCCTTGATTGCGGTGACGGTGAACATGGATGTCGGTAGTTGTTTATAAAATGTAAGTAGAACCAATCAGGCGTTAACCTAATTGTGCCCAACTATTCTTACCTGCCTCAAATTCAACTATTTCAGGAATTCTTATTTGGCACATTAATTTGGATACTTCTAATTATCATAGTACCCTAGAGGGAAGAGAATGCTACATGCTTTTGCTACAGTTGAAAAAACTACGTAGCTATGATAAAGTATTGTTAATGCGTCCCGTGGCAACAAAAGTGGTAGAGCTAACGGTGGACGACTACCAAGATATTGTGAAGAGTATTACGTGGGAAACTATCCTGTATAACTTCATTCGGTTCCAAAACGCCTCTCTAAATAGAGCATCCTGACTGGATATAAGAAAAAAGCAATTGGTGTATGTAGAAACCAAACTACGGTTTGGATGTTGAGGAATAACCGTCCAGGTACGTTAAACACACGCCCTTGCCCGTCGAAATCAAAGCAAGTAATCGGGTAAGTAGCGGTTCTATAATTCATCATAAATTTAAATGTAAATCGTTACCTAAACAAATATTACCACCCGGCTATTCAACCAATAATTGTTCAATCAATAAAATCTAAATTACAATAAATAAAGGAGTTGATGAAAGACGAGGGAAAATTACCAGTCACAACAAATGAACGTTATTCTATCCTGACTGGATAGAACACACACAAAAGGAGGAGCAAATCGATATGGCTACCGCCAAGAACAAGTGTCAAGTAAAACAACACAGATGCAGTTCGGGAAGAAACACAACTTAGTGAATACGTAAGAAAAACAAAAACTATAATAAAAAAATACAAGTATTAACAATTCAAACGTAATCAAAAGACAACGATGTACAATTAAGGGGATCCATAGGAACAAAGTACAAGTATATACATGAAGGGATTTTCACCAACACACAAAACATTCAAAATGGATCTTACAGTGTAGGCCAAAAATGAGTATAGGATACTTGGAAAGTTTCCCTAAAGCTTTACGGCCATAGCTCTTATTTGACATTGCGAAATATTTACACTGATGAAGATAATAGCAACAGTGGATACTTACAGACCAAACTGGCTTCTGAAATACAAATCAACACAAAATATCTCAGTTGGTTTGTTATGAAGTGGTAACCTAAAAACCAGGGTCCCCGTGGACGATGGAAATTTTATAAACTTAGAAACGACCAAAATCTTCAACGGCCATCTCGCTATACAGTCGAACATGAAAATATAAGCGAGGGACTCTTTATACTTTGGTATCGCCTTGTGGTCTGTGAAGCATCAGCGAGTCTGAAGTCTCTGATCCCAAGTAAGTAACCCAAACGTGACAAAATCCAGTTCGTACGACAGTGTGCCATTCCAAGAGGATTGATTTCAGTGACACTTCTGTATTGGCTCCCAAACTACCTAGACGATCTGGTGCTTCGTATCAAACAAAACAGAATGCATGCAAGTTGGAGAGCCTTAGAACCGGGATTTTTACGAAGAACCGTTTTAGGACTGTTCCCCTTTCTGGCTCCCCAGGTAAAACTAACCAGCCGACTCTAATCTATACTAATGATGCCAAGATATGGAAATCCATAAAGAGTAAATAGGATCTACTAAACCTAGGACAGAACCTTACAACAATAAGGAGATGAGAAATGAGAAATGCGTTAACATTTAACTTATCGAAATACCGCTTTGTAAACGTTCAGCCCTATAAGATACGAACAACTTATGTTCTCTGTGATAATATCAGAATTATCTCCACATAGTGCAATCTAGAACTATGAACTACAAAGGACTTGGACACATGCACAAACTACACAAGGGGTTCACCCAAAGTAAGCAGAACTCTTCATTTTGTATAGAGAGAATTTGGTGCTACTACTCCAGTTGTGTTTCCAGAAGTATTTTAGAAGTACATGCAGCCTCACCCCCCAAGTTCATAATATTGTTGAACCCTTCTCCTAAGAGGATATAAATCTCTTAAAATAGATATAGAATTTGCTAAAAAAAACGTTGACAATATGGCTGGGGAATACATCTTACAACGATAGGCTGTGACACTTGAGGTCATAGGCTACAGTATTATAAGAGGTCATCTGATGCCAGCAAAAAAACATAGTAAGTACGCTAAGTCACTTCAACACAAATATCCTACCGGAAACTAACCACCGAAGCCCTCGAGGCAACCTCCGGAAGATTGCAGTAATAATTTCAAACAAGAGGATAATGTCGATCAGAAGTTCTTCACAGTTCCCAAGGGTTTGTGACTGAAGATATGCAAGCTGTCTTGAAATGGAAATAATCCTCACATAAAACCCAAATAAACAATAATAAGAACGAAGTCTTTAGCAAAATACCGTGGAGTCATTTCATTTCTTTTGATCCTCATCAGTTGCTTACAACCTACAACACATAGAACAGTAATTAAAACAATAAAAAACAACTATATTTAGGGTTTTCAGAAAACCCTTCGAAGTTTATTTATAAATTATCAGTTATAAAGCTTAATAACACAGAAGCAGAAGCGTGACCATTGGGACTAGGATTTTACATACCAAAAACAAGTACTAACAGGATTGATGGGGAAGCTCAATTCGAAAATTTATTTGACCAGTTAGAAGATTTGCATCTAATGAATGATGAAGAGAAGGGATGGTTCAAATCTGAGTTAGTTCATGTTGCTGACCAATATTTCATTTCATCGACATCAAAGTCCAATATTTGATCCAAAATGACATCTGACAGCTGTAAGAAACATTAAACAGAATGACGAGGTAATGATCTTACAATCAAATAAATGTTTAAGTGTCATTCGAATGAACACAGCTGATTATATCACTAAGATTAAATCAATCCTAAACAACCGATTGAGATTAATGGTAGACAAATTCAACAAAGATTTAGTTGCTTCAAAAAAATGAATCACAGGCATGAATAGAGAACTTCTAAAAAGAAAAATGGATGCTGATTTTACTTACAATGATCTAAGACCATAGTGCTCATGTCTGCCATAAATACATGGTCCACTTGAGGTACACAAACATGTCTCCCCCCCCTTAGACCTGTCCTTTTAATGATCGATTCACTGTATCACAGTCCCACTCTGGTTAACAGATAACCTAGAACCAGCCTGTCAGAGATTAGCATCATTTATGTTAGAAGATTCATTCCGATTTGCTGACGGACTAAATCGTATGAATGTTGCTAGTAAGTCCATCCTTGTTCTCTGTAATACCAATTCTTGAAACTACTAATATAACTTCACATAATTCTGATACCCTACCTTTATCAGTGTCAGAATTCGAAAAACGTCTGCTTACGTGCATAAAAGATGTTGAGTCCCAGTTCAGTAACACCATATACCATCAGTTCTATGATGCAGTAGTAGGAATTACACTGGTTCCAATTATGGAAGATATTTTCATAGGGTTTTTTTTAAACAAAGCGTTTAAACAAGCTATTAAACAATCAAATGAATACTCCAAATGTGTTAGTGACGCGTTTATTATTATTAGCATGCAATTCACCAATTAGAACTCTTCAACGATCTACAGCACCTCTCCTACAGTTAGATTTATTTACCTTTAATTTTATCAAGATCTTCAATTAACTTATTTAACAAACAGTGTTATTCATACAGTGGCAATTTGATATCTTGGTATAATTGTCATGTTTATATGAACATGTACGCTTGATCACAAGTGGCAGTCCATGCACATATCCTTTTCTCGAGCTTAAATTTTTGCTACTTAAATTTCTCGATAAATCATTTGCTTTCTCATATATATGCTTGAATCTTATTAATTCTTTCGACTTCTTATTCGCCTCTATATTCACTCACTCGCATTAGCATTTCTGCTCGAAATCGCTACGGCGTACGCCAGCCAAGCTTCAGTCCCCTGAAGTTTGCTGAAGCCGTTGCTGCCAGACGTCAGAAATCTGATTTATGTGTTCAAAATGAGATAGTTGTTAATCTTTCATTGCCTTGGTGACAGATATTCCTGTATTAAGTTAAAGTTTTTTTCAACTCTTTTCTTCAGCTAACTACATCATTACGTCTTTATATTTCTACTATCTTTGAGATTTCTAATCTTATTTTATTTAACTGCGCTTTGTTCACTTTAGTTATTATTAGCGTTTACTTATTACGTAATCGCTTGCTTCTAGCCCTTTGGACTTTTGTTATTATCAATGTTGTTGAATGTTCTTCCAAATAAGGTATATCTTTACAATATTCAGTCTATTAAACTTACTTATACCCTTGTTATACTTTACTAATGTGTCCTCAAAGTAACTTCCAATTAAACTCTTTCATGTAAGTAATTTAAACCCATTTTGTAATTGCGATTTTATAATATCACAGGTTGTAAGCAAGTGATCAGAACTAAATAAAATCAAATGAATTTATGCTATTCTGTGTGAATCTTTATCCTTGCTGTCTTCAGTATGATAAAGGGAATTATGTGTATATAAATAACAGTAACTATGTAGTATGCTAAATGAAATACTACAAATAAGACTAGCCATTCACTATGTGAAATAATATCAACATGATATAATATCAGTTCTCACAATATAAATTGAAATCTCACATCTTTGTTAGTTTCTTCCTTCAGTAGTATTTTTATTGATATATCACTTTTAAGTAAGCTTCGGATAACTAGTAGAGTGTTGTCATTGTCTGTTATCTGAACAGACTGTAAGTTGCGTAGTTTACAAAAAATTTATTAATTCTTAGCCTTCAAATGATAGAGGAAGGAGATTAAGCAGATTCCAGTAATCAAGTGTAAATTATTTGTATCATTCACAAAATACTCATACCAATTCTTGGTGTTATACATTAGAAATGATTTTCTTTACCACCTAAAATGAAGGATATTAACCTAGACTTTATGTTAATGACTTTGATGTTTGTATTCATCATTCAGGTAATGGATTAATGTAAAAATACGACAAAAATATGAAATTATATTTTGATTACAGTATATCTTCTTTATTTTTTGTTTGGTTAAAGATCCACCTGATCTTGCTTCCTAACTAAGGTTAACATTACAGTTCTCTTCAAATAAATTACTTCTACAAAATAAATAAAAAACATAAACAGATAAAATGAGTATTAACTGCACTTATTTTTAATATAACAACATACTAAAGGTAAGCAACATGATTTTGTTCTCATTTACAAACAACAAATAGGAATCAAAGAAAATATTTTTAATCGATAATGGTTTTATAATTCAGTTTATCCCCAGATTTCATCCCTCTGTTGATGAAATAATCGTTTAGTTATTTCTTTTTATTATTACTTTGTAATCAATGTTCAATGAGTTAATTTTGTTTTAAATGTGTTACATTTGTTCTATTTTTCATAAGTTTTGTTGCTTGAATAGAACTTTGTTCAGAATTTATGAGATTTTCTTCAATTGACTCAATAGTATGACCGCATAAAACATGTTCAAATGCTTCAGTTAAACGTCCAAATACAATACCAGTAATTGCTAAACCAATAATTATGTAAATAATTGATAAAACTGCTAAAAATACATCAGTTTCCGGTACTAAATCTCCAAATCCAACAGTTGATAATGAAATAAATGCGAAATAAATTAAATCCAAAATACTCCACTCTAATTCCTTTTGTCCAGCTATATAAGAATATATCCCAGCTCCAAATGCTAGATAGATTACGAATGTTAATATGCAAGGAAGTACCTAGGTTAGATAAGAAAATATAGATAAATCAATAGTTAAACAGTTTACATGAATACATGCATATATATATTAAGAGGAGAAAAAAACGTAACTATGATACTTGAATATGTATTCTCTAGATAATTGAAGATTATCTATTAAACAGTAGTTTTATGATAACTTGAGACTTAGTTTTGATTGATGACTTCCTTAGTTAGTTTTGTCATAAAAACATCTTAGTTATGGAACTACTGAAACTGATAAATTTTGTTACATTGTAATTTGGTAGAATTAATTATAGAAGGATATATATATCATTGATCATGTGGAAAACGATCATTTGATCATTTGGTCTTTGTTAATATTTGTGGACAAAAGAGAATTATGTTATATGACTGTTAAAACAATGAAGTAGTATTTACAAGTTACTTTCATAGTCCCCTTAAATAAATAAATTGTTGATTAATTCTCAAAGATGTTAACAAGTTTTTTTGTTGTTGTTGAAAATACCGGTTAACCAATAAAAACAATAATTAGGGGATAATAAAGTGTTATGGTAGGTAAATGAAATATATTGATGAGAAACCACTGGTTACTAGGCATTATTCAAATTGGCGGTGGGTAAAAAGCGTAAGTAAGTTAATGATGAATTTCAGATTTTGTAAGGTAGACATTGTTGTTGAAAAACCAGCGACAGTTTGGAGCATATTTATGGGGATACAATAAGTTTCTGCTTCTGCTGGACAGTACATATTTATAAGTCGTTTTGAACTTCAAATTGGACTAGCATACTGTCATGCTACAGGTTAACTAGTTGCTGAAAATTGTTATCAGTGTTATTTAATGGATATTTGGGTCTTAGTCCAGATGATTTAATATGTTCGTTATAATTTCAATCAACCTACGAGATCCCAAACTAAAAATTATAATCAGTGATATGACTTGATCTTCCACTGAAATGTCTAGCTAAAGTCATTGAGATTATTTATATAAACCGCTAAGATTGATTAGGAAATATTCTTTCTCATACATGGAGTGTCCGTAACACAAATTGAATAACATCATCAAACAATTAATTTAAGGAATGGTATATAAATTAAAATGTAAGATTGCATGAATTTCAGGTTTCAATATTTGTCTGACTTAGTAGGACCCATCTACTGAACGAAGTGCGAATCTTCCATGAACCATATGATCACCAAATAAACTTGGAGTACGTTTTCATAGTCAGAACTACGTGTTACACATGACAGTGAAATCAGGATCACAGTTAAGTTCTCATATAATCTCTGGAGTTACGTCGAACGGTGCTAGAAAGACGAAAAGGGGCTAGATGCTTCCGACACAATATTTGAGTTCATCAGCAGTTGCAGTAAATTAAGCCGTTATTTCAGTAGTAGTTCAAATTTTGTAGGGATCATGTTGATCATCAACTTTGTCACCACTGGACATTCGTTCGCTTAATTCTGCACATAAATGACATTTTTATCTAAGCTTCAGTTAATCTAAAAGACAAATCTTTCACAGAATATTTATCGTAGGAACTAAAGAAGAATAAAATTAACAATCAAAAATTTAACATATTAAAACTTTTTGTAATCATAATCTCTAAACTTACTCGAAAGTCGAAAGTTGCATCAATTCTATGATAAGCTTCTCTTAATCCAACTGGAACTCCAGAAGGATCAAGTGTCATATAATAAATTGCTTTAGTCAGTCTGATAATAACATCTGATATTCGACTTATTAGCAAACTGCACAATGGTATGGCAATCATACCATAAAGAATAGTTAGTAGTTTACCAACAGCAGTGGATGGAAACACATTACCATAACCTGAGTTAAATAACAGTCAAAACAAATTTTTAATGTCAAGCATAAATGATCCATTAAATAGAAAGGAAAATCATACTAATAACTAATTTGATTGTTATTATTAATAATTTACTCAATTGTTTGTATTGACTAAAATCGATCATTTATGTGGACTGAACAAATTAACCTCATTATTGGATTATGATTGAAATGTATCCATACACACGATTGATCGGTCTATGTCTGAAAACATTGTTGTTGTTTATTATCAACAAATACTACAATTATAATCAATAGCCTTCTATCATCTGATTTAATTGATTTAACAGTAAAATTCATCTTAACATAATTAACATAATGTCAGGTCAGTTAGACCATTAGATACATTGCAACTTCACCAATGGAATCTGATCAGCATTAAAAACTATTTTTTTAAAACACATGATATTGGTGACACGAAAAGCTTAGCGGTAAACTCTCAGATTGTACAGCTGAGTGACAACAGTCTCAGTCCCACAGTGAGCATCAACTATCTCAAGATTACAATGACCTTTTGATGACCAGCACCATCTAGCATGAAACTTAAGTTCAGTATTTCTTGTCGACTAGCTTTAACCAACTAATCTATATCCAAAGAATCTAATGATCATCAATACAATTCTTATTATACGCTGTTTATGTTATTTGTCCAATTAGCATCATACAATTTATGTTTAAATAAGACATAGTAAAAGGGGATTACATACTACTGTTGATATTTTCATTTATTCCAAGTTTTATATAAAAACAATCTTTAAATCCTATGTGGTTGAAGGAATTCTGGCGAGATTCTAATTTATGGACGAGCCAATTAGAGGCATTTTAGATATTTCAAGGTTACGGCACCAACTTCGGTGCTGAATGCTAACGTACGATCGGTTCACAGGGGATTTTGTACAAAACGTGATAATTGAGCGGCTATAACAAATAAAACGGAGGGACTATAATGTGTGGACGAATCAATCAGGTATAAGATAATAGATCTCGGATTTTAATGCGAAAGCCTTTCATCCATTTGGCTAAATAAATTTCTGGCATTATAGCTGATGTCAGTTCGTGATGAAAACCCTATAAATAATTTCTAAGACAAATTACGACAATTATTGCAAACTGGATAATAAAAGCACCAGTAACACTGGCTGCAGTCAGGTACTACAATATATACGGATGTTTGGAGAGCGTACAGACTCCTACATAGGCTTGGTTATGTGCATTGTGTCGTTATCCACAAGTCGCATTTTGTGCACTCAACAACGAGAGTGCACATAAACAATACTGAAGCTATGTGGTCGAGGCTGAAAGAGTTTTTGAGACTTTATCATGGCTCCAGAGGCTGACTATTCTGTAGCCGTATGGATGATTTCCTCTACTGCATGCATTAGGATTTTAGAACCTCTGAACCTCTTTTTAATCTTGAAAAGTTCTTGAACTACGTATAAGAAGTGTATCCACTTTATTTCCTTGGTTTTGTATAACATTTTTACTCTATACTAACTGTTTGCTGATTGGCTAATATTTCTCAAGGTCATTTAAGATCCGTTCAAAGGTTGTTCATAAATTAGAGTTTCGCCGAAATTCTTTATAAATTTAAAATACCCAGTAACAAATATACATAAACTTCAATCTTAACTATAATGTAGATCATAAAAGAAATCATAAAAGAAAAAAAATGGAAAAATATAGAAGAAAAAAACATGGAAAGTACATCGTGAAAGTCAAAGTATTATGATCAATATCATAGTTAAAGATAATAAACTTTTTGATTCATATGATTTATATACATAGATAGTATATTTCCTTGAAAAACCTTAGACCAAATTGCCAAATGAAACGTTGGATTTATTTCATATTCATTCGTTGATAGTTTACAAATACATTCTTCCTCTTTAATAGTAAATAATAATTATGAATATATAAAAAAAGTATATGATTTATATCCTTTATATTTTGTACTATTTATTGTATAGCTGCTTTATTTCCTTTTTCTTTCCTTTACAGTAAACATGAAAAGTACAATTGACCCTTTAACTATTCTACTGACATATAATACTTTTTTAAGTTGTTTGTTTGTTGTCCTTTTTCCCTCTTCTTTAAAAAAAAATCATATATTCGGTGTTTAATAGAACTAATTGACTTATGCTTACATGAATGAATGTAATTCAATACATCTCTATGTAAATGAAATTGAAACGTATAGTATAGTAAAGTTAATTAATTCGAGTGTGAAGAAGTACCTTATTAGATAAACTTGCTTAGAATTACATTAATTTCCTAAATAATAGATTGATTATTTGACTTTGACTTAGCGAATTCACGATGTTTCACTTTTCGTGAAAGTTGAATTCAATACGAAATTATGAATGGATAATGATGAAGAGTGATGAGTTCAAACTAGAATATGAACCAGTAGTTCAGTCCTATCAAGTTTTTAATATTTTTTAAGCTAATTCTTAAAATGTTAATTCATTAAAATACTAAACTACACTGATGATATTCATATATATTGTGCAATTAACAGCTAAACATATATGATCGTCTGTTAAAATAATTCAAAATCTACCAACCTTAAAAGATGTTTAAGATCAAAACTACATTTATTTTTTACTTAGAATGTATCTACAAATTTTCTGTATTTATCTAGTGTCATTAGGAAGAGAACATTTCTTTATGGTCGAAAAATCAAATAATTTCAATCTGGATGTAAACTCAACCTCATATAATGTATTCAGAAGCGATGTTCATTAATCACGCCAATCGGAAACGAAATTATCTATATAATAATGGGTGTAATTTGTTGTTATGATGGATATTTCGTTACATCTCATAATATGTCTTGGCCATCACAACTAAAGATATATCATGCTGAAAACGAAACCAATATCCATGACCCTTCTAATAATGTGTTGGCTTTAAGAGGGATACTTTAGGATCTAATGAGATGTAATTGTTAAAGTCTAACCAAGTGACAAGTAAAGCAATTATTAACTGATATTGTAGTGAACAAGAACACGAATGGTGACAATCGAATTTATTTGAGTACAAAAGTACAGAGCATCTCAATAAAATCTGAGAACCATATAGTAAATCGTTAATTTGCAAAATATCGATCCATCATCTCAGACTTGACTGTTCTTGTCGTAAACATCAATCCATTGTCTCAGATTTCATTGCTCATGCGTTTTCATACCAACTGCGTTCCGTTCCCGTTCTTTCCTCATCGACCTTCTACTGAAATACATTCTATGTATGACCACCGTGATATACTACCTGTGTGGATATAAGTAGCCCACACCAAAATATCATCAGATGATTTCCGGGTCATATCCTGGTAGTTAAATACTAACTTACTGGTCTGAGTGTTACGCAGTCAAAATGAGAACCGAAGGTCCTAGATTCGATCCCTGGCCAGATTTTTGGTTAGCAGTGTATAAGAGTCCCATACCACGACGAAGTAGCTGTTCAGTACTCCCAGATTTTCAACTATCTGTTATCTGATTTCAACCCATAAAGAAAAATAACCTTCAAAACTTCGGTGTTTTAGTACTGTAAATTATGCTGACCGTATTGTAATTTCATCTTTTCACTTTTCGAATTAACTTAAAAAGGTATTATGTTAGTGATATAACAAATTTCGATCTAAATTTAATTGAGGCTTGTGTCTCCTTATTCAAATCAATGTTTCCAAGAGGAAATACAAAACAACCAATAGTATTAAAAGGACAAAAAGCGGTCTCAGAGAATCTTAGGTAGCTGAAAATACTTGTTAAGAAACCTTCAACTGGGGTTTCATGCTAGTTAACATTCACTAACAAGGCGCATAATTAACCCTCTTCCCTACATGACTCGAACCCGTATCATCTATTATCATAGTTAATATCGTCTTCACTGAAGTATTTTAGTCAAGTTTCACATAGATAAAACTTTATAAACTATACTTACCAATAGTTGTAAATAATGTGAAACAATAATAGATACTACCCCAAAGATTCCATTTTGTCGGTATATCTATAGTTAATTCATCTGTACCACATAACCATGCTTCATATAATTTCTCACGATATCTATCCACTTGTGCAACTAATTTTGACCAATCAGCATTACTACCTTTTTTAGCTAACTGTTGAGCTAGGACAAAAATTTTTTGCCTTGTCTTAAAAGAAAAGAAAAAAGAAGAAAATTGTTTTATAAACATAATTAGATGATAATATAAATAAAAAACCTTTTTCAGAATAACAGTAATGATAGTAATCATATTAAACACTGGCTTTTTTTCAAAGATTGAACTTAATAATCACTGTAGTTTAAAGATGAATAAGTTCAATTCTCTTTTGTCTAATCTAAAGAACAATTATCTGAAGTAGATAATAAGAAGGGTTTATACATATTTTTTTTAATTAATTAGTTATAGTGTGGTGTGTCACTTATATCGACATGAGTAGTATATAACAATAGTCAGGATTAGAATGTCTGGTAGTAGAAGGTAGAGAAGGAAAGAACAGGAACAGAAAGCAACTGGTATTAAAATTTAGAAACAATGAAATCGGAGACGATTGACTGATATTTGCAAAAGGAACAGTCAAATTTGAAACAATTGATTAACATTTTGCAAATTAAGTATTTACTATATGGTTCTCAGAGTTTGGTAAGATGATCTGTAAGGTTGTCTTCAAACATATTCGACTTCTCCCACTTGTGTTCTCGTTCAATACAGTAGAAATCACAATGAAGTCGAATACTTGACATGTTACATAATCATCGACGTTTATCATTTCAAATATTGACGACAGATGAAATAAACTTGATTACTGAAAAATTCTAACGGTTTGGGATTAAATCATTGAACAGTTTGATGACTGGGTTAATAAGGGTACTAGAATGGAATGAGACCAACTAAATATCTAGTAATACACAATTTCCTTGACATGAATTAGTTCAGGACTATACAAATCTTCTATAACTATTATTTATTATTTAAACCAAACTAATAGGAGATACAACCAAAACAAAGAAGTAAACAATGACAGGTTTATGATCAACAAGAACCAGTCAACATTGAGGTGTACAGGACAAGCTTTGAACTATATGTGGAAAAATTCGAACACTTCACCTCTACCTGAAGTTTGTGCTGATGATGCCGTTCAGAAGAACGATGAAAACCTCACGACCAAACCATCCAGCTTAGAGAACAAAACTCCATCAAAATCATCCGCCTGAGCTACAAATCTTCTCCACCATCTCACCATTAAGATTATTATTAAAAACCTAAATTTTGTTAATGACTATGCTCCGTAAATATTTTACATATTGATCAACTTATTTGGTTAAATTAATCTTCCATCAATACGATCACAGATTTCTAAAGATCATTGAGCACGATAAGTATTTCATGTAATTCTTGCATGTTGACGAACATTTAACAATAGATAATCAAATGACTTCTTTAGAATTTAATAGTTGAATTCATGAGTCGATTAAAGCTAAACCACCGTGGAAAACCTGGAATCACTGGATGGCCGTTTCGTCCCACTATTGAACTCTTCAACAGTGCGCCGTCTAATTAAAACAATTGGAGCTCTTCTACAGTGCACTGATGCTCTTTTTTAAAGTTAACCTTGGATTAATTTAATTTCTACTTGTTGATCTCATGTTTCGTTTTAATTTTTGATGTATAAATATTACTCATTTCAAGCAGTTGGTGAGAACCTATGCAATTCTACTCAAATTATTGTTTTTGTTTGTGTAAACCTAGCAATGGAAACCATCAGTACAATATTCATTTAATGAAAAACTTGTATGAATGGAGAAGATTTTGGATTTTAAATGCTCAAATTATGTCTAAATAAGAAGCTTCTAATAAAATGATATTGTATATTTTAGTTCATTATGATATACAACTCTAATGGATGTATTTTAAAACACCTTAAATTGTTCGAAATAATTTTGATTACGACTTTTCCTATCCAATATATTTATAGAAACAATATACAATAAAAACAATCCATTTTAAGCACCATAGATGGATGGTAGCTAGTAGTGGAATACAGGACAAGCGTTTCGTCCTGTTTGAGACTCATCAGATGGACGTACCCGCGTCCCAGAATTGATGTCCACTCTGGGACTTGGACCCAGTACCATTCGCTTCAAACGTCATCGCGTTATTCACTTGGTTACTGAGTTCTGACAGTCATTTGCTTGTACAATAGAGTGGCGTTCAAATTTATTCGGTATTGTTTGTTTGAATCTTCCCATTGATGTTTAGGACTGAAATTGATCAGCTAGTTGGGTAACGCAATATCGTGTGAAACGAAAGGTACTGGGTTCGATTCCCGGAGTGAACATCAACTTTGGGATACACGCACATCCAGCTGACGAGTTTCAAATAGGACGAAACGCGCGTCTCGTATTCCATTGCTAACCACCATCCATCTTTGCTTATACTACTTGTGAATTAAGGCAATATCGAGGCAATCCGTACAGGATGTACATATTCCAATAACAGACTGATCAACTGCTGTCCTAGACATAGATCGGAAAATTCAAATAAACAATACCAAATGAATTTATCTTACGAGGTATGACAAACGAATTTTTTTATTTTGGTCCAACGTTATGTGTAACTAGCCTAAAAACATCTAAGGTTAAATCCAATATCCAATGGAAAGTTTAATTAAAATATTGATTTATTAGTAAACACAAAAGTAATAAAACCACCAATCACATCTTAACTAATCGAATTTATAACGATCAACTAATTGTGTTATCTAGATACATGCTGGGAATATTCAAATAATGAGCACTAACCCCCTTTGAAATGAAGATGGATACTCCTAAAGGACCGTGAAGGGTGATGAAGTTATATAATGAGCTAAGAAATCGTTGAAAATAGTAGTTATTAGTTGTTTATGTAATAAATTGATCGTGATATTTTCATAACAAGAGAGTTGTAAATTTTCCTTGAATATTGATATTTTAGTTGAAAACAGATTGACAAACTTTTCAAATTTATCTCATTAGATGATACCTTGATAATTAATCCCATATTCACATAATCTTTTCACCATCTTCATCAAAATACAGGTGACTAACTTTGTTTTTCCAGTAATTTTGTCTGAGTAGTTCATAGAAGAATTCCTTAAAATCTGCAAAGTAACTTATTTTTATAACCATGAAACATAACGAACTAACTCTTTGGTCTAAAGACTAATTACTTGCTAGACGACCCGAAGAGGCTGTGACTGGGGAAGCTGAGGAGTCTCTGACCATGGCGAAACATCTGTTCTTCATCTCCTAGTCTGAATTAGTTTTCTAAATAAAGTTAATCCTTTGTGAAAGACTGTAAGGCTAGTTTTAATTATAACGATACCTAGATGACTGAAATCCTTTTTAATTTGTCAAAAAGCTACCCAGTGTTTCGTTTTTCTCCTCTAAATACTCACTTAGTCCTAACATCATCAAAAATATCTTAAGAGTTATTTTTCATGTGTAAAGTTCGACTGAGAACTGGATCTTAGGGTTCTGAGTCTTATTTTGTATAGGGTCTTGGGCGTCCTGTCATATAGACATGGTTTATTGATACTACGAACTCAAAGTTTCACCGTTTTACTACCTTACCATCATTATACACATTTCGAAAAGTATTCATGCTACACAACTATTTGATTTAGCGCTTTCCCTCCATCTTCTGTTGCATGATTTATGAAAATTTAGTTGATTCTATTAAATAGGTCCATGATCAAACCTTAAGTTACATTGAACTGAAGTAGAAACTGTGAACCTTTCCATTTCTCAAATAAATACTTCAATAAGTTAATTTATGATCCGACTGTCTTGCTTAGAATATATTGAGCCAATAATATACCAAATTGAATTTTAAAAACTTTCTAAACTCATTTATACTTTCGAAGTTTATCATAACAATTAACTAAGATTACTAGCCAAGTTATCTACAATTAAATAATAGAAAAACCTAAACACTAAACTATATAGAAATGAGAATGTTGATGAAGCTTAAATACATATTACAAGAATCGACGTAATTAATATACGTAGTTTATCCAATAAATAATTTTATCGTCCTTTAAATAACCCACTAATTGTAGCAATACACTTGTCTTACCACAATTTTCACCATTCGAATCATTCGTGGAAACCTTCAAAGTTAGAGATTTTCAGTAACCTTGATGTTCCACATTTTTTTATCATCTCCGCATGACCTCTTTACATTCCAAGAACAAAACGAAATCATAGGATAACTGATTTATAAGAGTAGGGAAGATGATCTAGCTTGGTGATTCAATTACTAATCAGGTAGTCGTAGACGATCATTTTTTACGTACAGGCGTATTTACATGGTGCATCACTCACCCAACAACGTCACACATGACCCACATAATCCATCATGCATTCAAAACTACTCCGAGTCAATATTCACTGTTTATAACCCAGGGAGGAATTCATTGTAGCCGTTGTGTTGGAAACCACAAGTATTTCAGTACCCCCATTTATCCAAAAATCATACATATCATTATTATAATAAATCTCACCTTAGATACGTGTGTCCTGGATCGCTCTTCATATGGACCTTCAATTTTTTGAAATAACAATGCACCTAGCACAGTTACTAATGCCAATATTAATATCAGACCAGGTAATGACTTCATGAATTGCACTAAATATTAAAGAAGCAAATAATATGTCATAATAACATCGAATTAAAATAAGGATATTTATATATACCTGCATGTTGGAATGATTATGATGTTTGAAATCGTTATTAAAATATTTCAGTGAAGTTTAAGAGATATGTATTGACAGTTTTATTGATCTATATCAGTTGATTGTTGTTGCCATAGTATGGTTCTTGTAATTAACCAGTGAGTAGAGACCACGTTATGCTTGTTTAGTCATTTGATCTTGACTGAATTCTACCTATCAAATTGTAATGCGGCCATATATTATGTGATTCTATATCGTGTGTACTGTTCTTAGATGTTAGATGGATGGAGATAGTCGGCAGAAAACCCTGGTTCTACTAATTATAATTTAGAATATCATATAGAGAATTTACTAACTCAAGATTGAAGGTACACCTTACTAACTGCTACTAACTAACACAAAAGCTAGCTCCAGAGTTTCCTGTCTATAACTTCCTACCATCTAGCATTCAGTTCTCAAGATTATTGATTTTTATCTGTATTCACCGATTCCCCATTTGTATTAAGTTTTCTTGAACTCTGAACAATATTACGAACAAGATGCTTAAGCTTTCATTTTCATTACTTGTCTTGTTAATTAATCATGGACAAGATATGCTTCACAGACAATAAATAAATGTCCACATCTCAGTGTACATGAAACAGTTTGATAAGTGAAGGAACTAACAGAGTGTGCAAAATCTAAGTGTTTGACTGGTAAGTTCTGAAATATGAAAAAAGTTTAGTGTGATCTCATCACAAAATAAGAATCATAAGTGATATAGTTTAAAGATTGTACCATTATTTATTATGATTCTTTGGATCTATCTAACCATTTTAAGATATTGGATAAGTCACTTTATGGAAATAATTACATAGTTCACCATGATTTCTAGATGTTTTATCATCCAAAATGTAAACAATAATCATAGAATATGAGTGCTAAGGACTATCAGGCATACGTACATATAAACTACATGGAACTTCAGAATAAGATTCGGGGAATCAAAAATACCAAAGTCAGTGTTTTGTAAGGAACATGATCACTCTTTTAGGTACTACTCTCAATATTCAACATTGAATATACAATTTTGGTCAATCATTTCGAATTTCATTTCTAGATCAAACAATAGTGCCAATGTAGAATACCAGTAGAAGTGTTTATATGTAAGATCCCACAAAAAGTCATACTTAGAGTCAAGGATCTCCAGGTGTTCTTCGATATATTCCCTATATAAAATCAAGATAAAATTCAAGTTCATCTCTATGTAGTCTGTAGCTTCTTTAGATATACAAAAGCTTATGATTTTACCTACACTTGTTCTTTTTTACTGCTTCCTGTGTACAGATTCCAATTTCTGAATTCTAGTTATTTTTCTGTAATTGTTAGCGACACACTGTTGTTATTCCATTCCATTTTTAACCCAGGAAACTAAACAAATAGTCAGGCATTCCGAATACAGGTAAAACTATTTGAGTTAAACCCTAATTTACAAAATCTTTTTCCATTCAAACTAATGATTTCAATTATCAGTCGTATCCCCTCTACTGTCTGTCATATACGTCAGCGTGGATTCTCAAAATAGGCTGTAATAAAACTCGATTGTTTGTCATTTATAAACTTGAATTAACAATAGATTTCTTTCTACACAAGAATATCCATCACTTAATTAGTTTGACTGTAATATTTAAAAAAACAATTATAAATAATTTCAATGGTTAAGATCATGAGTCAATTGAAGCTAGACCACCATGGAAAACCTGGAAGCAGTGGACGGCCGTTTCGTTCTGTTGTGAGACTCTAGTGAGAAGTAGTGGCCAGTGGAGTTCAACCAGGTCTGTTGTGAGATATCTGCCCACTGATGACAATGGTGGATGTGTTGCTCAATTTCGTGGATTAGTTGAAGTTAGACATTAACACCATTGGATGCCGGTTCGATGGTCTAGTGGTTAGGTGCTCGCGCGCGAAACCAGTAGGTCCTGGGTTCGAATCTCGCGGGAGGCGGGGTCGTGGATGCGCACTGCTGTGGAGTCCCACAATGGGACGAAACGGCCGTCTAGTGCTTCCAGGTTTTCCATGGTGGTCTAGCTTCAAATGACTGATGATCTTAACCATTGAAATTACTATAATATCCACAAAACCCATCTGATATTAATTATAAATAACATCATTTTTAATACTAATGTGGGCATAAGTTATAGCTGAATAATAAATAAATGGTTTTCTATCAACCCGGTTTCAAACAAAATAACATAGAATAAACCGATGCAAGTTAATTATTAACAATGGACTTTTATCATCTTATCAAAGATCTAACACTGCAACTCAAGAAATACAATAAAGTCTAAGTTTCATAATAATCATTCCACTTAAATCTCTTATTCTGATAATAAAGTCAATATTTACGAAGTGTAAATGTAGTAAATGGTAAGATCTTCAATTGTTATTTAAAAGTATCAATGTCAAATTGAATGAAGTTCCAGGAATAATATTATTTTCAAAATGTAAACTGAGTTCGAACACTAATTACTATACATCATTCTAATCTTTTGTGAAAGCAAAAGCACTGAAGTAATCAGTGATTATTATTATTATTATTTGAATGACAGTTATTAAATAATAAGAATTTCTAGACTCTGTTAATAGCCATGATTGGAATGTTTGTCATTACAAACATCATTCTACCAAGATAAGTTTGATTGATTGATTGACTAACTAACTAACTAATTGACGAAGAATACTTTTACAAGCTTAAAGTATTTCTCCGTATAACTAAACAAAATTTACATTATGACAGTCGATTGCTTTGTTTTCTTTATCAAAATAATGGCTAATTTGATAGTGTAATTACCCATAATAATATGTTACGTAATTATAGTTTACAATGTATACTGAATTAAATGTAAAAGGTTTTTCAGCTTACCTACTTTGTTCATTTGCTAATCAAAACCTTTTCTTCCTTCGAAAGGTTTTGATTTATCAATGTCACATAAACAATGATAATAGAAAATATGCCAATATTCATCAAGCACCAACAACTAACCTTCTTGTGACCTTGACAGCAAGCCAATCAGCTCACAGCTATATGACCTTATAAAGGAAAATAAGCCTATCATTTCAAAAGGGAACGTAAAAAGGACTAACCGATAATATTATAGTGGGAGTGAAAAGTAATGCTTAAAAAAATCGTTTAATCATACGAATACACAGAATGTGTACAATGTACTGAATAAAACATATAAGTATGCTATAACATTAATTTTATGTAACTTGGCCAGCTAACAAGAGTTTCGTTCTTGTCCAGTGATTATACATCTGTTCAGTACATTATTATCTGTATGAAACTATTTTAAACAAGTACGAAAACTTGACACATCTAATGAAGCTATTTGAATTCTGAAGATATTTTCACACAATTTAAACAAAGCAGGAAAAACTCCTTGAGATGAACAGTAACTGCTCTAGAGCAAGAATTTCTGCTGTCTATGATTCTCATTCTTTTTGAGGTCTAGCCTAGGATATCCTCTTGCCTAATAGTAATGTTGTTATCAGTTAATCACCAGACCAGTAATCACCAATTCACATTATCCATCATCGAGTTTAGCTTAAATAATACTATACCATGACCAGTGAACACATTACAATATTTTCTATTTCCCGTTTGATTAAAACAAATCATTGAATACTTCATTATCACTGCATCTCGAACTAATCTTCAGTTTAATAATATTGAAGACGACAGTTTATGAGTGTTTTGTAAATTTTATCCAAAGTAAATAAAACAAACGAAAGGAACAAATTTCAACTTTTGGTGATTTAATCATTAGGCTTTCAATACCACTCTGGACAACATCATCTGCCCACACTCCAAGTAGAAGTGGATATTTTTATTTACTTTCTAAACTCTGAAATTAATCAATTCAAAGTCATAGAACTAAAAATTAACTCCAATTGATAAATCTGACAAAAAAACTGGTCATATACAGATTTTAGAAACCTTAAATACGAACTATGATCATTATAGCACATAGTGATTGTAATCTCCAATAAAAACAATTAGTATGTGTGAAAGGACTTAGGAATAGCAGTCACGAGAACCCAATACACCTTCATGTAAATGTCATTTTAACGCATATTACCCAAACATAATATAACATAGCAACAGACGTAATTGGTAAAAATACACAGTAAACAAAAAGATTTAAGTAATCAATATTCAACGAAATTCCATGTGAATCGAATTTGTTGTACAGTTCTTCGTAAATCATAGAGAAATTATTGGTTCAACTTAAAGATGTTTATGATTTATCTGGTATAACTTGCTATCTTATTTCTAATTAAGTTCAACCAATTATTATTACTTCCCTTGTACCGAAACACTTAAATACTGTTTTCCTAACGATCTCCTACTTCTAGAAACTCTTATTTTACTCTTGAAATTTGAGCAGGAATAATAACATTTGAGAAGAATAAAAGAAATCATACATAAAAAGTGTTAAAAGTACAGTACAGAGATGAATTAATTTGAATCTATTATTAGAGTTACGAAAATAAATAACTTTTATGTGATATCATCCAAAATGAGAAGTGGAAATACCTTTGTAGATTGCTTATCACGTTGAAAAACGAAAACGAAACACTAAGTCTTTAACATATCAAATGCTCGATTGTAGTTACGATGGACTTGGAACAGGATTAATCTGAGTGTTTTTTTCTAAGTTCTTTAACCTAAACTATTAATCATTACATGCATCTTAAGGCACTAAACTCCTAATCCTAACTAGGAGCAGTCTGAAAATTCCTAAAAATCTTTCTGAGTGTATTCATTCACATGAGTTGAGAATTCCTGATTCCAAACAAATTAACAATAAACTATATGACCCTAAGGAATCGGGTGATTTGTGAACACATTGCAATATATGAGTATTTCAGTAATGACTCTCGTGAAGCTGTTTCTCTATTTTATTGATTGAATTTGTTGATCAAGGTCTTGAATGATTCCTTAAATAATTAACCTGTTAATTCGATTCTTTTGAAATGTTTTCATTTTTGCCTACTTATTAGTAGTTAAATTAATACATCTAAGAATTATGCGTCCGTTACAAGCACATTTCAGTCTATTTTTTCATTTTAAACAGACAACAACAACAGCTAAATACAAATCAATGAAAATCAATGAATCATGAATTTGTTTTCAGACTGGAAAGACAGAACTACATGTAAACAATCATATTCTATGTATCTATTTCAATTTCTTTTACCATTCGCTCTGTGTTCTCGTTCATTCATTAACTTCTTATGTCTATTTGTGAACCTGTAGAACATGTTGTATAGTTTATGAATGCGAGCTTTTTCATTATCAATAACAATTTTTAACTAATTTAACTGGATAAAATTTCATTCCAGCGTTCATATTTATATATCATTCATTGTCCTTGTATGTGTCCATTATTCGGGTACTAATATGAAAATAAAATATACACACTTACATATATACATGTAAACACGGCGACGCATAAATGCAACATTATAAATACTCTATTACAAATCTTTATTTTTGTTTGCCTAATTCTATATGAAAGAGACATTAAATATGCCTTTGTTGTACAAATTTACAGAAAGGTAAATAGATAGGTAGTGAAAGAAAGGAAGTTGGATGTGCAATCCATATGTACTGTGAATAATACAAATGAAATAGTGAATGCTATCCGATTCAATCTTTAATTTTTTCTGATGAAGAATAGCATTTTATCATCAAATGCATGGTTAAATTCATCTAATACGGTGCAAATTCAGCACAGAATTTGAGATTTTATATATTAGGGTTGCGGCTAACAGTGGGATCTAAGACACCAATTTCATCTAACTTTTGACTCGTCAGAGGAATCGAAATAGGAACATCAACACCAGGATTGAGGTATATCCATTTAAAGAGTCCTAAATTGTATGGAACACGTATCCAGAATTCCACTTCTATTCACACAGAATGTAATGAAACTTATGAATAAAGTAAAAATGGAGGCATCCACCCAGAGTGCTCATACGCCAACAAAGATCACTCAGAATTTATAAAAGTTATGGTTTCGATTCCTAGAATGGTTGTGGATGTGCACTGTTGATCAGTACTCCCAATCAATCCCAAAAAATATTTATTTATTTGAACACATAGATATTGGTACAAGAGGGTATCAGAAACATATGTGCCACACGGATCTCATTTGATATGTGTGAGGGCTGTGATACTGTCCGGATGCCCAAACAGAAGCAGGTGGTTTTCTTAGGGGGCCACATCCGGAGCCTTCGACCTGAAGGTCTGATCCACAAGGCAGTGGAGCAACGTCAGGAGATGCAGTCCAGTGGTAGCTAATCACTAATAATTGATTCACACACCATTTGTTCCCTTAGGATCCCGAAGTTCATGTGCACCATTAGTTTGGAGTCAGGGTTTTCCGACTCCACTAGGTGGACTCTCCGTGTCCACCAATCCGGTTAAAGCACTGGACATTGGTTTTCCGTCCTGTCAATTTCGTAACCAACACCCCTGCCACGAGAAGGCAGTCAGTAGGAATTCCCTGGCAGAGGCTATATACGCATGGCCATGTGAGAGCATTTCGAGAGGGACAGCGAACTCTCCCCACTCTCGGCCGTACCTAACTTCGAACGGTACCCTCTAATCAATGGTAATAAAACTGACTCTAAATATTAAATGTCTAAAATGGCTGTTCTAAAAATAAAGAAACAGACTGACACCTAAATCAACAACAAAATCATTCTAGGCAGTGATAATTTAGGGGTTACGTACTTACTTACTTACGCCTGTTACTACTCGTGAAGGAGCATAGGCCGCTCACCAGCATTCGCCATCCAACCCTGTCCTGGGCAATCCTTACCAGTTCCTCTTCATCTTTTTCATGTCTGCTATTTCCCGACGTAATGTGGACTTTGGTTTTCCTCTTCTCCACTTCCCTTAGGGATTCCAAGTTAGGGCCTGCTTCGTGATGAAGTTTGATGATTTGCGTAATGTATGTCCTATCCATTTCTATCGCCTTTTCCTAATTTCCTCTTCAGCTAGAAGCTGGTTTGATCTCTCCCACAGAAGACTGTTGCTGATGGTATCCGGTCAATGGATATTGTAAATCTTGTGTAGACAACCATTTATAAACACTTTTAACTTATTGATGGTGGTTGTTGTAGTTTTTTAAGTTTCAGCTCCGTATAGTAGGACTGACTGCTTTGACATTCGTATTGAAGATTCTAAATTTGATATTGGTTGAAAGTTGTTTTGAGTTCCATATGTTCTTCGATTGTAGGAATGCGACCCTTGCTTTGTTTGCCAATCCTCGCCTTTACGTCTGCATCCCAGTTATGTGAAGGATTCTACATCTTCCAGAGTTTCGCCATCATGAGTGATTGGATTGCTGCTCTCCGTGTTGTATTTGAGGACGTTGGTTTTCCCCTTGTGTATGTTGAGGCCTACTGATGTAGAGATTGCTGCTACACTGACTGTCTTTATCTGTATTTGTTCATGTGTATGCGATAGGAGGGCTAGGTCATCTGCAAAGTCCAAGTCGTCTAATTGGTACTGAGCTGTCCATTGTATTCCGCGTTTTCCCTCAGATGTCGAGATCATCATAATCCAGTCGACCACCAGAAGAAAGACGAAGGGAGAGTGCATACAGCTTTGTCTGACTCCAGTCCTTACTTGGAATGCATCTGTCAACTGTCCTCCATGCACTACTTTGCACTGTAGTCCGTTGTATGAGTTCCGGATAATGTTGACAATCTTTTTAGGAACTCCATAGTGTCGAAGAAGTCCCAATAATGTCCTCCTATCTACACCGTAAAATGCCTTTTCATAATCAATGAAGTTGATGTACAGTGACGAATTCGACTCAACTGATTGTTCGACGATGATCCGTAGTGTTGCAATTCGGTCTGTGCACGATCAATCCTTACGGAATCCAGCTTGCTGATCTCGAAGTTGGGCAT